CTTCTGGTGAAAATTTCTCAAAAGTTCATTGGTCAACCCCCCAAAAATTGAAAGGAAAATGAAAGGGGACATGTCGATCATCGTATTTCTGTGCAGCCTGGATACCTGTGAGAGTTGTGAGTATTTTTAAAACTATTGCAAAGTGTGGGGATTTATCATTGCAGTCTATGGGAATTTATTTGTAGTGGTGCACCCTTGTGTACGCTACCGCTGAGAGTCAGGTAGCTAATCAGGTACTGGTTACGCAATGTAAGCAGTTAGTAAGAGACCGTAGTCACCCGTGTGAGGAGTGCGGATTGCAGATACAGGTTAGAGGCTGCGGAGTGCGGATTACTGGCAGCACTCTGCCGATTGCGGAGTGCAGATTATTTACGTGTTCTGTTGCAGTTGTATTTTGCATTAATCTTTCGTAACTCTTGTAAAAAATAAGTAACTCTAATTGTGTAAATATAGTGAATATATGAACTAAAGAAAAGTAAATTAAATAAGTCCAGTTGATCTTGCCGGTAATATCTTGTTTACGCACATGCTCATTGTTGTGTCAGTCGACCGGGTCACCAAATCAATTACCGATCGGTGGTATATTTCCGCCAAAACGACCCCTAACAAAGTGGACATTAGATTGCTCGTCAAACTCAAGGGCCAAGGCAGATAGTTTAGGTTTAGATCAGGTGACTTTCCCCACATTTGGAAACAGGTCGCTCAGACTGGCGAGACCTAGGCTGGCCACAAAAATGGTGTCAGACGTTGATTGGAATTGATTGGTGAGAGTTGTTGGTTGAGACACGTGTTAGTAAGGACGTATTTGTAAGAGTTGGGACAGCTTCCCGTATTGGCAAAAGTGAGTCCCAGGTGTCAGTAATACCTAAGGATTTTGCAATGGAACTTAGTGTAATAACCATGTGAGAAACAGAAAGGTTCAAGTATTGTTCATAGTAGTGTAACAGTATGAGAAAACAGAGCCCTCCAAGTATGGAGGCAGAGGTTAAGGTACATGTATTTGCAGTGGGAGTGAGATCTCATGGCAAAGAAATCAGAGACTGCCATGGGAGGTCAGAAAGATTCCTTAGAAGGAAGTTAGGACACACCCGACCGAAAAGGGCGTGTGAGTAAACCAGTGGATTCACAGATTGAATTCACGTTGCCAGCAGTGACTTCTGGTTATGTCTCTCAGTTGGAGACGAGTAGTCTGGTGGGTTCAGGTAGCTCACCGGAATTCTTTCCCAGGGCTAGGAGGAGAGTAGAGTTTGGGGAAAGTACACCCCAAAGAGGCACATTAAGTGCGAAAGAGGAACTTGAGTCCTTCCCTTCGGGCTCAAGTGAGGCAGGCCAGGGTGCATAGAGTTGTAGCCTTACTTTGCATACTCCGGAGAAGACTCTAGCAGATATAGCCCACCATGATCTCATAAGCTTTGCAGCCCGTCCAGCAGACGCGGTTAGTACCAGACCAGTGGAGAAAGCAGTTACCTCTTCAGAAGGGTCACGGCCCCTGAAGAGGGAAAAGCGAGTTGGTGAGGTGGAGAGTAAGACATTGGAACGGACAAACCGCCGCCCCAATGTCATCCCAGACAGATACAGTGGCAAAGTGCTATGGAGAGAATAATTCCGGCACTTTGAATCGCGTAGAATTGTGAACCAGTGGAACGAAGAGCAGGCTACTTCATATTTGCTTGCCAGTCTGCAAGGCAATGCCCTAAAATTAGTGGGCAAAGTTCCATCTGGACGGCAGCGCTCATATAGTGAGCTGGTAAAAGTGCTAGACAGGAGGTTTGGCTCAGGACGCCAAAACGAGAACTACCTCGTCGAGCTGAGGCATTGGCGACAGAAGCCGAAAGAGACTCTTCAAGAGTTGGGTCAAGCCATACAGGAATTGGTGGTCAGGGCGTACCCTGACACTCAGGAGGAATCGCGTGACCGTTTGGCAAAGAATCACTTTCTAGAAGCAGTGGAAAGTCGGTCTGTTCGAGAGGGCATAAACCAGGCTCGTCCAACGAATTTGGATGAAGCCATTCAGGCAGCTCTCGAGACAGAGAATTTCGAGAAAGTCGAGCTGCAGCGCATGCTCGACGGTACTCCCGCCAAGATGGCGAGGGCGTTAGACTAGAGCTACCGTGTGAAATCCTGATGATTTATCTAGATGACTTGATCGTCTTTGGTGAGACAGAAGCTCAGACAGTACAACCTCTGTGGGTGGTTCTAGAGAGGTTGAGACAGGCAGGGCTTAAGCTCAAGCCAAGTAAATGCCAACTATTCCAGAAGTCATTTAGCTACCTTGGACACACCGTGTCCGCAGAAGGGGTGGCCACAGACCCAGGAAAAGCGAGGGCAGTGGCAGAGCGGTCAGTGCCGAAGTGTGTTAAGGGACGTGAGAAGCTTCCTAGGCCTTGTGTCCTGTTAACAAAAGTACATCAGAGGCTTTGCAGAGATAGCTAGTCCCCTACATGCCTTGACAGAAAAGGCGCGAGAGTTGAGTGGAGTGAAGCATGCCAGCATGCATTTGAAGAGCTTAAAAGTAAGCTCCAGGCCGCTACAGTCATGGCATACCCTATCCCTGATGGGGACTTCATCCTTGACACTGATGCCAGTGGACGAAGCATCGATATGGTGTTGTCCCAGCTTCAGGGTGGGGAAGAGAAAGTCCTAGCTTATGCCAGCAGAAAGCTCAGTAGACCTGCAAGAAACTACTGCGTCACCAGACGTGAATTACTCGCAGTAGTAATGTACTAGAAAGAGTTCAAACAATACCTCTACGGAAGGAAGGTGACAATCGGAACCGATCATGCTGCTCTTCGGTGTCTTCTGAATTTCAAGAACCCCGAGGGACAGTTGGCGAGGTGGTTGGAAGTCATATCATAATATGACATAGAAATCCAGTGTCGCCCCGCCAGAAACATGCCAATGCAGATGGACTGTCAAGGAGACAGTGCAAACAATGTGGTCGAGAGGAGACAACGGAGACCGGGAAAGCTGAAGGCAGGAAGCCTGATGAGCACCCGACAGTGGA